TCTTCTTCAGTTCTCCTCTGATCTTAGTTATTTGCTGTCTTTTGCTAGCTTTTGAATTTGTTTGATCTTGCTCCTCTAGTTCTTTTCATTGTGATGTTAGGTTGTTAGTTTTAGATCTTTCCTCTTTTCTCTTGTGGGCATTTAGTGCTATAAATTTCCCTCTACACACTGCTTTAAATGTGTCCCAGAGATTCTAGTACATTGTATCTTCATTCTCATTGGTTTCAAAGAACATCTTTATTTCTGCCTTCATTTTGTTATTTATCCAGTAGTCTTTCAGGAGCAGGTTGTTCAGTTTCCATGTAGTTGTGTGGTTTTCAGTGAGTTTCTTAATCCTGAGTTCTAATTTGATTGCCCTGTGGTCTGAGAGACTTTGTTATGATTTCCTTTCTTTTGCATTTGCTGAGGAGTGTTTTACTTCCAATTATGTGGTCAATTTTAGAATAAGTGTGATGTGGTGCTGAGAAGAATGTATATTCTGTGGATTTTGGGTGGAGAGTTCTGTAAATGTCTGTTAGGTCCACTTGTTCCAGATCTGAGTTCAAGTCCTGGATACCTTGGTTAATTTTCTGTCTACTTGATCTGTCTAATATTGGCAATGGAGTGTTAAGTCTCCCACTATTATTGTGTGGGAGTCTAAGTCTCTTTGTAGGTCATTAAGAACTTGCTTTATGTATCTGAGTGCTCCTGTATTGGGTGTGTATATATTTAGGATAGTTAGCTCTTCTTGTTGCATTGATTCCTTTACCATTGTGTAATGCCCTTCTATGTCTCTTTTGATCTTTGTTGGTTTAAAGTCTGTTTTATTAGCTGGATACCAACCCCTGCTTTTTTTTTTTTGCTTTCCATTTGCTTGGTAAATCTTCCTCCATCCCTTTATTTTGAGCCTATGTGTGTCTTTGCACATGAGATTGAGTCTCCTGAATACAGCACACTGATGGGTCTTGACTCTTTATCCAATTTGCCAGTTTGTGTCTTTTAATTGGGGCATTTAGCCCATTAACATTTATAGTTAATATTGTTATGTGTGAATTTGATCCTGCCATTGTGATGCTAGCTGGTTGTTTTGCCCACTAGTTGATGCAGTTTCTTCATTGTGTCAATCGTCTTTACCATTTGGAATGTGTTTGCCGTGGCTGGTACTGGTTGTTTCTTTCCATGTTTAGTGTGAATTTGATCCTGAGCAGCCCTCAGGAGCTCTTGTAAGGCAGGCCTGGTGGTGACAAAAGCTCTCAGCAGTTGCTTGTCCATAAAGAATTTTATTTCTCCTTCACTTATGCAGCTTAGTTTGGCTGGATATGAAATTCTGTGTTGAAAATTCTTTTCTTTAAGGATCTTGAATATTGGTCCCCACTCTCTTCCGTCTTGTAGGGTTTCTGCTGAGAGATCCGCTGTGAGTCTGATGGGCTTCCCTTTGTGGGTAACCTGACCTTTCTCTCTGGCTGCCCTTAGCATTTTTTTCTTATCGTCCAGGTTGGAGTGCAGTGGCATGACCTCAGCTCACCGCAACCTCCACCTCCCAAGTCCAAGCGATTCTCCTGCCTCAGCCTCCCAAGCAGCTGGGATTACAGGCATTTCCTTCATTTCAACCCTGGTGAATGTGACGATTACGTGTCTTGGGGGTTCCTCTTCTTGTGGAGTATCATCATGGTGTTCTCTGTATTTCCTGAATTGGAATGTTGGCCTGCCTTGCTCGGTTGGGGAAGTTCTCTGGGTAATAGCCTGAAGAGTGTTTTCCAAGTTGGCTTCATTTTCCCATCACTTTCAGGTACATCGATAAGATGTAGATTTAGTCTTTTCACATAATCCCCTATTTCTTGGAGGCTTTGTTTATTTCTTTTTTTTTTGAAACTTGTGTATGTTTCAGGAAGTTCTTGTGCTGTGTTTTTCAGCTCCATCAGGTCGTTTATGTTCTTGTCTACACTGGTAATTCTAGTTAGATTTCATCTAACCTTTTTTCGAGGTTCTTAGCTTCCTTGCATTGGGTTACAGCATGTTCCTTTAGCCTGGAGAAGTTTGTTATTGCCCACCTTCTGAGGTCTACTTCTGTCAGTTTGTCAAACTCATTCTCCATCCCGTTTTGTTCCCTTGCTGGGAAGGAGTCGTGATCCTTGGAGGAGAAGAGGTGTTCTGGTTTTTAGAATTTTCAGCCATTTTGCACTGGTTTCTTCCCATCTTCATGGATTTATCTACCTTTGGTCTTTGAAGTTGATGACCTTTGGATGGGATCTCTGAGTGGACGTCCTTTGTATTCATTTCTTTCTGTTTGTTAGTTTTCCTTCTAACAGTCAGGCCCTTCTGCTGCAGGTCTGTTGGAGTTTGCTGGAGGTCGGCTCCTACAAACTCCTGCTTGCCTGGGAATCACCAGCAGAGCAGCAAAGATTGCTGCCTGTTCCTTCCGCTGGTGGCTTCTGGTGGCTAGCTCAGTGTCTTCCCAAAAGGCTGCCCAGTTTTTTGCTGGAAACCCAGGGCCCTGGTGTAGTAGGCAATGGTGGGAATCTCCTGGTCTGTGGGTTGTGAAGAGACTGGGAAAAGCACAGTATCTGGGCCAGAGTGCTGGGAACAGTCCCTAATGGCTTCCCTTGGCTAGGAGAGGGAGTTCCTGGCCCCTTGTGCTTTCCTGGGTGAGGCGACACCCAACCCTGTTACAGCTCGCCCACCTTGGGCTGTACCCACTGTCTAACCAGTCTCAATGAGATGAACCAGGTACCTCAGTTGGAAATGCAGAGAGCACCCGCCTTCTGCGTCGCTCTTGTTGGGAGCTGCGCACCAGAGCTGTTCCTATTTGGCCATCTCGCCAGCAATCCCTGATGGGATTCTTGCTGAAGGCAGGCCAGGTGATCAGATGTACCCTGGAGCTGGTGGGGTATGAAGGCTATGATCAGACAGGGAGGGCGATCAGATGTGGTTGCTGGGGTATTCCAGCAAGACCAATTTAGCAGGACTCTCGCTGAAATGGAACAATGCTGAGACAAACACAGAAGGCCCAGGCCTGTCTGGGAGGCTCAGGGGAGCTTGAGGAAAGATGGGTCAAGGCGGGATGTTTGTGAGGACTCAGATTCTAGCCCTGCTCTGAAGGCTGAGCCTGTCCCTGCCGCATGAGGTGGCTTTCCCTGCGGTCTCCCAAAGGCACCAGTACGAGCATGTGTAGTTCTTCCCACTGCTGAGGCATGAAGTCCTAGTCCTGCATCCAGTTTCTAGCTGAGAGCAGTGAGGCTCAGACCAGCCTGTGACGCAAGGTGAGGGTCAGAGAAGTGCTGTGAGCTCTGTGAGGACCAGGGCATGCCGCTTCCTTCTGCTACCCAGATGCCTTCCTTGCTCGGCTGGTCACTGCGAAGGGCCCCTCCCCTCACCGCTCCTTGGCCATCAATTTCCACTTGCCTTAAGGGATGAATCTGAGATCATCAGCAAAGAAAGGGAAGGTCAAGTCCATTCTTGCTGGAGTTCTGCTCTATCCTGGGGAGGGAGCCGCGGCTCTGCAGATGTGATCCCTGGGGGCCAAGGCTTCAGCCTTGACCTGACATGAAACCCCTCTGATGGAGCCTGCCTGTACTTTGAGCTCCTCCTCAGTCAGCCTCCCAGTGGGGGCCTGGCCCCACCCTCGGCTCACCCCAGAACCAGAGCCCGGGATTGATTCTGCCCCTGCTGTGGGGCTCTAGAGCCCCCAGAGCACCCCGCCCCGGCTTGTTCTCTGCCCTCAGGCGAGGACTTGATGGGTGCCGTGAAGGGGGTGGTGGGCATGTGCTCTCCTACCAGGTCCTGGTTGTAACCCAGAGTAGGTGGGTTGGCTTTTCTTGGCCTCGTTCATCTAGAAATGAGGGCAGATCTGCTTTCTAGGGTTTTTGTGAAATTTGTCAAAGCAATACCGGCCCTAGGGGCAGGTGCAAATGCAGGGGCTCGTCTCTATTTCCCAAGTCATAGAAGTGGTGCCCAGAGGATGACAAAGGTGGCAGCTCACTCCCACTAGCCCCAGGGGACATCTGATCACCTGGCCTGCCTTCAGCAAGAATTCCATCAGATCACTCCGTGGCAGGGGTGAGCGGGGCAGTGGGTGACTGGCAGGAAACGGTCAGCTTGGAGGAACAGTGCCCTGGAGGTGGCCAGGAACAGGAGGGCTGCAGAGAACAGTGACCAGTTACTAAAGCACCCAGTGGACCGGCTACCACGCTGCACACATCACATTTCATCTTCAGGACCACCACGCAGGGGAGGTAGTGTCACTGTTCCCTCACAGCTAAGACGGCTGAAGCTGCAAAACAGGGACAACCCACCCTTGTCACGTAGCCGGTAGGTGACATCTCGGAGCCTGGACCAGGTCTGGTCCTGGAGCCTGGGCTCTTCCTCTGGCCAGGTGCCTCTGTGCTCACGCCACTGTCTGTCCTGGCCATCCAGGCCCGTGAAACACAAGGTCCCTCCCCCAGACCACGGAGTGGTAGGGTAGGGTGGGGCCAGTTCTGTGGACGGAGCTCTTGTCTTGTTTCCTTGAGGGGTTGCTTTGGGGACTGCTGTTTCCCGCATTGCCAACCCTTTATGTCCTTTAGAGTCCTGTGGTCAGCATGCCCCCCTTGCCCTGAGCCAGCCCACCAGGTTGATCAACTGCCACAAGCCCCTTCTCTGTAGCAGTTGATGCTGGCCTTACTGCACAAATGGAGCTCAGAGTGAGCTCAAAACCAGTTCCCCAGACAGTGTCTGAACTCATCTTCGTTCTTCCCTGGGCAGATCTCCTTGGTCAGACTCACTCTGCTTGGGCTAAATGGCCCGGAGAGGGCTCTGGTTCCTGCTGGGGACAGCTAAGGGAGCAGGTTTGCATTCAAATGTGGAAGAATCCAAGTGCCGTCTCAGGGTCACCCCGGGCGAGGACAGGGTGATGCTGGGCAACAGGTGTGTTTTGGCCTTGGGATCTGGGCTGCCTGGGATCACACCCCTCATTCCAGGAACCCTGCTGCCACCACAAGCATGCCTCGCACACAGGTTGCCTGGAGCACTCTCCATTCAGACCATCCTGCTAGGACTTTCTGAGAGTGTTCGTTTTTGTTCATTTGCCCTCGGGGTTCTTTAACACCACGTGTATATCTTAGGCAGGGAAGGATTAAAAGGTCAAAATGTTGAAAAGCTCTGCAGTGTGGGAGGTGGTGAAGGAAAGGCATTGGAGGTCTTGGCTCTTCTGATTCAGAAGGTAGTGGTTTCCCAGGAACAACGGGAACTTCCATGGAATGAGGACTGTAGACTCCTGATTAGAGGGTTTTGGGGGGTGGGCGTCTTCACATTGGCTTTCACTGGAACACCAAGCTTCTTTCCGTTGTTTCAAGATTTTGGCAAGCAAGGCCCATCAGACCAAAGAGATGTGATTTTTGGACCATACCTGAGATTTGCCCGGAGAAGTGCCTCCCTGACTTTGCACGTCCTGTCTGCTGGGAGACACAGGTACACGAGGGCAGAGCGGGGACTTTCTTCACGACGTCCTCTCCCCAGTTCTTGTTGGTCAGCCCGGGAGCATGTCAGGGGCAGGGGTGGCCTGGTGTGCAGGGGCTGCCCCATGGACATTGCCTCAATGAATGAAGCTGTGATGGTTAATAGCAAGTGGCAACTTGATTGGATTGAAGGATGCAAAGTATAGATCCTGGGTGTGTCTGAGAGGGTGTCACCGAAGGAGATTAACATTTGAATCAGTGAAATGGGAGACACAGATCCAAGCTCAACCTGGGTGGGTATAATCTCATCAGCTGCCGGCAAGGCTCGGAGAAAAGCCGGCAGAGGAGTGTGGAAGGGCTAGGCTGGCTGACTTTCCTGGCCTGTCTTTCTCTCATGCTGGCTGCTTTCTGCCTTCGAACTTTGGGCTCCGAGTTCTTCAGCTTTTGGACTCTCGGACCTACACTGGTGGTTTGCCGGGCGCTCTCAGGCCTTTAGTCCCAAACCTGCTCTTCCCATGATCTTTCCAGTCATGGTGAGTGGCACCACCACTTCCCTGGGTGCCAAGACCCCCACACCTGGAGATGACACCGTGGTCTCCTGTGAAGCTTGCTCTCTCTTTCCCCAAGCCCTATCAGCCCCACCTTCCTATTAGACCCCAAAGTCCTTCATTTCTTATCACCTCTGCAGTGTCACTGCCTCAGACTGGCCCCTGACTTCCTCTGTGTCCCCCGAAGGCCCCAAGTCTGCTCCATATAGTAACTGGAACGATTCCTTTAAGACCCGAGCCAGGGTGGGCACAGTGGCTCACACCTGTTCTCCCAGCACTTTGGGGGGCTGAAGCAGGCATCTTACTTGAGCCCAGGAGTTCCTAAAATATCTCAAAGTTCTCAAAACTTGAGACCAAGCTGTTTTTGGGAATCTTTTAGGAGTTCAAGATCAGCCTGGGCAAAATAGCAAGACCCCATTCCTTCAAAAAATTTAAAAAATCACCTGGGCGTGATGGCAGCCACCTGTAGTGCCAGCTGCTCCAGCGGCTGAAGTGAGAGGACCACTTGAGCCCAGGAAGTGGAGGCTGCAGTAAGTGTGATTGTGCCACTGCTCTCCAGCCTGGGTGATAGAGTGAGGCCCTGTTTCTAAAAAATAAAAACAAAAAGACTCAAGTCAAACACATTATTCCTACACCCAAAGCCCATGAATGGCTTCCTCTCTGGCAACTGGAATTTAATGCCAAGTCTTCCTGGAGCTGGAACGGCCTGCCTTGCCCCAACTAGCTGTTCTGTGGCCTCACCAGGGACCCAGATCTGTCCACTCGCTACTGTCCAGTGACAGTGGCTTCCCACCATCCCTTAAACTCCCCCTTCGTAGGCCGGGCACGGTGGCTTATGCCTGGGAGGCCACGCGAGTGGATCACACAGGTCAGAAGTTCAAGTCCAGCCTGGCCAAGATGGTGAAACCCTGTCTCTACTAAAAATGCAAAAATTAGCCGGGTGTGGTGGTGCATGCCTGTAATCCCAGCTACTTGGGAGGCTGAGGCAGAGAATTGCTTTAACCCAGGAGGCGGAGGTTGCAGTGAGCCGAGATCGTGCCACTGCACTCCAGCCTGGCGACAGAGCAATACTCCATCTCAAAACAAAAACAACAAACCTCCCCGTTTGCTACGGCTGCTGTAGGCCGTTGCACTGTTTTCTCTGCACAGAATGCTCTCCCCATCCTTGTGGCTTGCTCCTGAAATTCATGCCGGTGAGGTAGTCAGAGGCCCCCTTAGCCCCCCCAAAGAGCCCAGGAGTTCAAGGTCAGCCTGGACAAAATAGCAAGATCTGGTCTCTTCTGGCTGGTGCCATTTAGCATTTTCATTGAATGGAGGAGACTTTTTAATTTTAGTAGCGAGTGGACAGACCAGGGGTCCCAGGTGAGGCCACAGCTGGAGAATTCCCCTCTTCACCTGCTTGCTGCCGTGTCTCTTGGAACCTCTGACCCGCTTCCCTTTTCTCTGTGGAGCTTGTCACCATGGTTTTGTAACTCATTTAATGCCTTGTTTTCCCAACAAGAATGCATAGCAGTCTGCCTGGATGACAGACGCAACCTCCCTCCCCTCCCACAAGGCTGGGCATGCACCCAATAGAGTTATCAAATAGATAAATAATCACAATTGCAGAGAGGAGGCGGCTACGTCTGGCAGCCTCCATGTGTGGTGCCAGGGCCATGCGTCAGGCCATTGATGAGCATTAGCTCATTGGATTTCCATACTGACCTTGGGAGGTGGGTACTCACAAATCCATTTTTACAAATAAGGAACCTAAGGCCCAAAAAATCCCAAGGAGACCACCCAGCCTGCCACGGGTTGAGCCAGTTTGGATGCCAAGTTTGCCTGCAGCCTGAGCCCAAGTGCCACTCCTGCTCCATGCCACTCTTGGGCATGGCTCTGATGACTCCCCTCCTGCCTGCCCCAAGTGTTCTGGTAAGGATTTTCATCCCACAGTCTGCCCCCTTCATTAGAAGTGACTCCCATTCGTTCGTTTTAAAGGCTGTTTCTCTCCTGTCTTCTATCTTTGCAAATTCTGGTTAGCTAAACAAGAAGTCCAGGAGTTCTGGGCTGCACATCAGTGAGATGGGAAGGACAGGGAGAGGTGCCCACCTCCGCGTGCTAATGCATTTACCTCCCGGCTGCAGGCGTCCACAGAGTTGGCAGCCAGGACCCTCCAGAGGCTCCAAACCTAGCCTGCCCTGTGAGAACAAGCTGCTGCTTGGGAATCTTTTAGCTCAAGATGCTGTGTTCCATATTCATGATGAAATTTCCATGTTCACGAGGGCATCCAGTAAGTAGCACGGCATTTGGGAAGGAATTCCAGCCAGTTACATTTAGGGGCCTGAAAAAACTTCCAAACCAAGAATGTTTTCTGGCTAGTGCCATTCAGCATTTTCATCTAATGGAGGAGACTTTTTTTTTCCTTTTTCTTTTCTTTTGTGTGCCCTGGCTACTAACTGTTCTCCACGCCAGCTGAGCCCCAGTGGCTCCACTTGTCACCGCTGCCTCCCTGAGTCATTCTGTCCCACGGGCTGTTGAGGGAACGAGGCCTCTAGTGACAGTCCTGGCTACAAGGGAAGAGGCTGGTTATGTTTCGTCTTTTCCAGTCTGGTTCCTTCCTCTCAAACCCAACTCCTGTGTTATCTCCGGGAGCCCTGCAGGAACAGGGCTTTACAAAGTTCTTTAGCGAGGCACGGTGGCTCACGCTTGTAATCCCAGCACTTTGGAAGGCCAAGGTGGTTGGACCACCTGAGGTTGGGAGTTCGAGACCAGCCTAACATGGAGAAACCCCATGTCTACAAAAAATAAAAATAAAAAATAAAAAAAGCTGGGTGTGGTGGCGCATGCCTGTAATCCCAGCTGCTTGGGAGGCTGAGGCAGGAGAATCGCTTGGACTTGGGAGGTGGAGGTTGCGGTGAGCTGAGGTCACGCCACTGCACTCCAACCTGGACAAGAGTGAAACTCCATCTCAAAAAAAAAAAAGAAAAAAAAAATTCTACTTTTTCCTCAGCCTTCCTGCTCGGTCTGGGATTAGCGTTCACGCCCACGCTTGGGCCTCCTCCCCTTGCTAAGCTGTTGGTTCACCTCTCCCAAGGGTCTGGGGTCTGTGTGGTTCCTTCCTTCTCCCCCTACTGAATTCTCTTGCTTCGGGATAATACCACCCCTCCCTCCCCGCTACCAGACAAGCCCTGCGTGCCCCACCCTCTCCTAAGCAACTTATAGGTATGAACTACCCTGTCTCCGAACAACTCTATGGGACAGGCATCCCGCCCCGCATCTTCTGGAGGACAGAATGCAGGCTCAGTGTGAAGTGACTTGCGAATGGTCACTCTGGGAAGGGGAGGCCAGGATGTAGGACGCATGCTGGCTTAACTCTGCTGCTATTCTGCCTCACAGCGTTTAGTGTGGAGAGAAGGGCCTTCGTGGCAATACTAGCCTAGGTGCACGTTGGCCCTCTTGTTGCTGAGGAGCACTCAGCTAGTCCGTCTCACGGAGTCGTTTCGTCGGCAGAATGGGCCTGAATGTATTCCTGACTCACAGGGTAGTTTTTACAGGTGAATTGTGATCACAGCTGGCAATCAACCTGGTCCCACAATGACATGGAAAGCAGGCCCCTCTGCGGCACCACTGCTGTGCCTGGGCTGTATAGGAGGACGGGTATAGGCAGGGAGGGTGGCAGGCAGTCCCACGTCTGGGGCTCTAGGCTGACGGCGGTGGCTGAGATGGAGTCATCCGGACCTCAGGCCAGCCCCCCCCATCTCATCCCACAGGGCACGGTACGTTCCCCACCATGTGGCCACCTGTCTCTGTGACCGTTCCACTGTCACTAGAACGAGAGGACCTGTGCCTGCCAAGCTCCAAAGGCGGCTCATCGTGAGCGGCAAGGTAATTTCACAGAAGCGATGTGCACGGTGAGTGAACTGCTGCGTCTTCTACACGCCTTCACACTACTCCCGCACTCATGCACGCACACACCTGCTGCAGGGGAACCCCACCGCTGAAGTCCATCCTCCACCCCCCAAGGGAGCCCAAGTTTGTTCAAAAAACAAACTGCACGTCAAAAAGAAAATAACAAAACAACCAAACTTTACTTGCATTTAGCCATTAATAAATAATTTACAGTATGTACACGGGGTGACGCTCCACACAGGTCACAGACACGTGGACGCAGTGAGGAGTCCCCACTTGCAAGCAGAACGTGAGCAAACACAACCAAAATAAAGTGCTTCACTTTTTACTTCCAACATAGGGACCATCAAAAACCGGCGGGGAGAGGGAGAGGCTGGGTCCAGGCCGCCTCCCTGCTGCCCACGTGGTTCTGGCAGAGGGAGCAGGACCTCTTGGAGGGAGGGGGAGACACGTTCTGCAGCATCCTGGCCAGTGTATGAGAGGTCCCTGGGGAACAGCAGAGGGGCTGCCGCCGATGCATGGGGAGGGGAGGGGCAGGGCTGCACCTTTTGGAGGAAAGCCTGACTTTGTGCTGTGGGCACGGGGGGACTGTTCTGGGCTCCTCGATGGGCAGCCTGAGCTGAAATGAGGCGGGAGCCAGGGCCTTGTCTCTCCTGGCAGGGTGGTAACTGGGCTTAAAGGAAGATATTAGAGGTTGGAGACCCTCCAAGGGATGCTCAGGGCTGAGAAACCCAAGACCCTGCTCCTCTCCCCAGACTCCAGATGTGGGTGGGCTGGGTGGGGGCTCCTGGGCTGGTGAGGAGGCAGAGGATGAGGGCAGGCCGGCTGACCCCATCCACGGGTTCTCCTGCTGCACCCCGTGGCCCAGGCTCCCTGGCATCTGAGGCAGGCAGAGAAACAGGGATCTCTTCTGTTTAGACATTTAGAACCAAGCACTTCAACTTCCTAAGCACAGGGTTGAGGGGGTGGGGGCCTGGGCCAGAGCCGGGCAGGTGCCTGAAAACCAGGACCTGCAGCTGGTACCCACCACAGCCGGGGTAGCATGGTGGCTGCCCTGAGGCCACAGTGAGAAGGCATCAGGTGGGCATTACCTCCAGGCCAAAAGGCTCCGTCAGTTGGCTAAGGTGCTGAGCAGTGCCCTGGGGGTTCCCTGGCTCGGGCCAAGTCCCAAGGCAGCCTCCCAGGGTGGCTAGGCCTGGGCATCCCCGCTGGCCTAGGGGGTATGAGTGTGCTCTGTTGTGAAAGTGTGTGCGCGCGTGGCGGGCAGAGATGGCCCCAAGAATCGGCGAGCAGCAGTCGGCCGGGCCTGGTTCAGTGCATTGCGAGGGAAAGGAGCTGACTCTGACGGTGCCCAGTGTCTCTCTGGTGGGGGTGGGGGCGGGGGCCTTCAGCCTGAGGGGCTGTTTTGCACATTCACACTGCGGGGGTGGGGCGAGGGGAGCTGCTCTCCCTTTCACGCAGTTCTACTGTCACAAACATCACGGCACCAGTCACCACAACCTTGTCACGTGCACTAGAGGGGGAGGGGCCTGAGCCTTTGCCAGCAGGCGGGACCACAGGGGCCAGGCCAGGGGATGGATCTGCATCCCACTGGCGGTCCCCGGTCCCAGCCCACAGATGGAGACGCCGAGGGGACAGGGCCCACGCCTCCCTCCACATCTACGCATCTAGCAGAACACAGGGAGCAGGGCCAGGAGCAGGACGAGGGCACCCAGGAGCAGCCGGGGGACTGGAGGGAGTCCCGCTGCCGCCGCCCTGCCCGGCAGGTCCTGAGTCCTCTCGTATAGGTGCAGTTTGTCTTTGTTGGAGTGGAGCATCTTGACGTCCTCCAAGGCATAGTAGGCAGCCAACGTGAAGTTCACGTCACCTGTGGTGAGGAGGTCGAAGACGCAGGCCTGGTAATACAGGTCCTCCACTGGCAGCTTCTCCTTGCACTTGGCCACGGCCGTCTCATAGGGGAAGGTGTCGGGGGCCGTGGGTGCTGGGCTGGCGGCTGCTGGCCTGCGGGCGCCGGGGCCCTCAGTGTTGGCGTGGAAGGCCTGGAAGTCAATCTGCTGGTTGAGGGGGCAGCCCCGCAGGCACAGGTAGAGGCCCTGGCTGTCCCAGTCCTCCACGGCGTTGACCACCTCCTCCGGCATGCGCACGGCAAAGGTCAGGTAGCGGCCCACCTGGCGGACCACGATGGTGGTGCCGATGTACTTGGCCTGGATCTCCACGTGCTGGCCTGACACCTTCTCTGTGATCTTCAGGCTGTTGGCCCCGTGCTTGTCCCCACCATTCTTAGAGCCATCCACGAAGGCGCCTGGGAGCTCATCCATCTCAGCCTGGTACACCTTCTGGTCCACGCACTCCTGGAAGTTCTTGAAGATGATGGTGAGCTGCCAGGGAAGAGGAGAGTGGGTGAGGCACATGGGACGAGGCCCAGCTCCACAGTTAGGAGGGCACGGAGGATCCCCCAGGGGTGCCCCAGACACCCCTTTCCCGGGTGGGACAGATGCCTTAGTTCACCTCTGCACCTCACTCTTTAAACCAACTTGGCTTTCTTACTTTAACAAGTGACTTAGAAAAATGATAGGCTGCTACCCTAGGTAGAAAACCAGCTCTTTTACTGGATAGGGAAGTGAACCATAACAATAAAAGCATAGATAATTAAAAGGTCAATAGCCCAGTGTGCTAGGCTGCAGAATGGTGCCTAAGGAGAACAGGCCCTAATCCCTATAACCTGGGCATGTTCCTGTAGATGGCAAAAGGGACTCCGTAGCTCTGACTGGGTAAAGAACACTGAGATGAAGACTACCTGGATGGGCCCTAAATGGAATCACAAGTGTCTTTATAAGAAAAAGGCAGAGGGAGATTTGACTAAGACAGAGGAGGTGATGTGACCACAAACCCAGGGATGCTGGCAACCCTCCAAACCTGCAAATGGCAATGAATGCTTTCTCCCATGGAGCCTCCAGAAGGATCAGCCCTGCTCTACCTTGATTTTTTCTCTGGGAGACACCTTCTCAACTTCTGGCTTCCATATTATACAACATTTCTGTTGGTTTCAACTGCTCAGTTTCTGCTCATTTGCTACAGTGCGACAGGAACTGCTGTGCAAGCATCACCGTGGATAAGGACAGTGGTACCGGAGCACAATGCCTGCCAAAGGACCCAAGCAAATGCCTGAACGTTACAGCAGGGGGAACGGAGGAAACCGATGCTCTACTAATGAACAGGGCAAAATCCAGGTAAGCAGGCAGAAGCCACAGTCCCAAGGCTACCGAAAGGGGTCCCCACACCAGGCCATGGAGGAGGTACCAGTCTAAACACGCGGCCCAGGCTGGAGCACCCTTCTCCTGAGAGCCAGACCCAGGTGCACAGGCCGCAGTGTCCCAGGCACTGCATTCATTGCTTCTAGTTTTGTGTGACAGTGTCAAGTTCAGAGACATTACTCCTAATTTTCTAGATGAGAAAATGCAGGCTCACAGCAGGATAATGACTTGCCTAAGGTCACATAGCCAGCAGGAGGCAGAGCTGGGAATAACCCTGGGGTTCCAGACTCTGGGCTCTTTTGGCCACAAGCCCCTAGGGTGGGAGGCGTGGGAGGAGGAGGAGGACGACGGGGGGCCTGGGCTGGTGAATTTCCCCTGTGGTCCTGGGTGGCAGCTCTTTCCTACCTAACCTGAATTAAGTAGGCTATCTGGGTTGGAAATAGAAAAACAACCCCCCCGCCCACCTCTTCCTCTCCTCTCCCAGGTGTCAGCTGTTTTGCCATGAAAGCTCTGGGTGCTTGTCACCCCGGACCAAGGAGAGCTGGAACCTGGACTCCCAGCCTGAAGCCAGGAAGAGAGGTGGGGTGAAGGGAGCAAGGTGGCACCCAGGCCTTTTGGGACCTCCATCTGCTGCACTGCCCTCTTCTCAGCCTGGCAACCAGCCCCAACCCCTCCCCCTAGGAGAGGGTCTGGCCAGCTGGCTGGCTGATGGCTCTCCCAAAGGAGCCCACCTGCACCCAGCCTCAAGGGCTCCAAACAAGGGGCAGCTGCTGCCGCCATGCACGGCCATTTTCTGTCTGGGCACAGGGCAGGGGCATGAGGACTGCCTGGCTGGCTTTCCGGGTAGAGGGCAGTGCTGCCAAGGGCTTTCTGGCCTCACAGCAGATGTGTGATGAGGGCACAGCCCAAGGTGCCTGAACCCAACAAGGAATGAGAAGCTGCGCTGATGGGGAAGGGAAGGCAGGGAAACCACAGAAGAACCTCAGCTCCGCCAGGAGGGTCGCAGATAGGCAGAAGGTCCCGGGGGCCAGCCAGGGATGCAGCACAAGGCCATCCTGTCTGACCTAGGGCCACAGCCTCAGGAGCAGAGGCTAAGAGGCGGCCTGGAAAGGAGGGGACACAGAACCTTCCAGGTAATGCAAGCCCATGGGGTACTGAGCCCCTGGAGGTGGCCCCAGCTGTGTTGCTGTGGCTTGGTGTATTCCCCATATTGGCATAAAGCTTTGGGGTGATGAGGTGGGGAGTGCTGGTAGCCTGAGGGGTGTGGAACCCCCAGAAGAAAAGAGAGACCCTAGGCCAAGGCTTCTGAAGAAGGAAAATCCTGTCCTTTGATGCTGTTGGTCAGAAAGGCAAGGCTGGGAAGGGCTGGGAGGAGCTGGGCGAGGGGCAGGTCACTGGAAGACTTTAAAAGAAACGGCAGTCTTGTTAGCCCGTTCATGGCCGGCACGAGGCACTGTGCGCTCTGTGCCTGACGGAGACGTGCAGTGCCAGGGCTCTTCGGGAGGATGGAGGCCAGCACCGGGAGGCTCCAAGCACACAGCTACCTGAGCACCGGACTTGATTTCCTCGTCCCCTCCCAGGAGGGGTCCCAGCCTGGCCCCAGGACATGGCACGCTCTTGGTTTACCTGGGATGCCAAAGGTGGCTGCAGCCTCTCCATCCAGCAGGGAGCCCTAAGCCGTGAACCTGATGCAATTGCTGCGACTCTACCACTCCTGACCTCTGGAAATGGCAACTCCAGACGGTTCAAGCTCCTGCTTCTTCCTTCTTTCCACCCACTGGCTGGCCCACCTCAGTGTGGAGGCGCCTGGGGGGCCGGAGGTGGGCCAGCCCGGGTGGTCTGGGCCGTGGGTGGTCCTGCCATGGGGGGAGGATGGGGGACTCTGGTGTCCCTGCCTGGTGTGCAGGGCCACACAGACACTGGAGGTGGGGGGGTGGGGGTCCTGCTTTCCAAGTGCCATCAGTCTCCCTGGAACAGGAAAGGCTGGTTTCGCTCTAACCGACATCTCTTGCAGAGACAGCCTCCTGGAAGGCTGACAGGCTGCCTGACTCTTCTTGGCACTGGTGCCAGGGACTCAACCACAAGTAACAGCATGAAGGGGGCCTGTCGAAAGCCGGCGGCTCACTGCCAACACAGCCGCGAGCAGGCAGCCGCTCCTTCTGCAGGGGCCCTGGCCCTTTCCACTGCGCCGGACACGAGGCAGAGCCCTGGCTGCAGGAGCTACTATTTATGGAGCTCCACTTCCATGCCAGGCCCAGTACAAGGGGCTGGGGGGACACAAGGGAGAGGATCCCCGGGCTCCAGGGGGTCACAGGCTGAGCAGCTGAATCCTGCCAAAGGAAGGACTGGCGAGGGTGATGGGGAAAACTAACCCGTGGGGAAAGGAAGGGGAAGGCACAGGACTCGAGTTTCTGTCCTCTCCTGAGTCTGTGTGTCTGTAAAATGGGTGCTAGCGGCACAGCTGGAGAGATGGAGCAGGGGCTGGGCACAGAAGGCTGTCCCACAGTGGTAAGAAACTGGCTAAAACGTCCAGGTGGAAAACACAAGATTTGATCACAAGAACGGAGGGATTGTTGGATTGGCTGAAACTGCCCGTATCCTGAGAAACAAGTGATGCCCAAGGGTCTGGGGCCAGCTTCATGCACACACAGTGAGATTCTGCACAAGGAGGCCAATCTCATGGCTGCAGGGTCAGGCCAGGCCAAGGCTGGACACTGGGAAGCCCAAGGAGAGGCCTTCAAGGGCAGGTGGGTGGGGGGGGGGTGGAGTCTGTTTGGCTCAGTTGGGAAAGGGGAGTGGGTTCCAGCAGGTGCAGAGGTCTCTGTTGCTGGTGGCTGAGGTGGCCACAAAGTCCAGAGGTCTCATGATGTAGGAGATGACAGTCCCTTGCCTTCCCCTGCTCCCTGTGGACACCAGGCTGCTCTCCCACACTGCCTGCTTTGGACACCGACTCCTCTGTTCCCCCATCTGTGCTACATACAGGGGGAGTTTGCTGTACAGCCTCCCCTGTTCTCTGGACAGTGCCGAGGCTTCCAATGGCCTTCAGCATCCTGCTTCCCCAGACCCCCTCACCAACTCCCCTTTGCTGGTCTCTGTTCGTCACACGCCTGGGAGGGAGGGCCATACCTAGCTTAGAGGCTGGCACAGATGCAGCCTCTGGTGGCTGCTGCCTCAGTGAGTGAACAGACACACCCAAGTAATGGAGGCCTGCAAAGACAGTGGGGGCAACCACAGGTGCCTGAAGCCGGCCACCCATGTTCTCACCGGGGAACACACTACCTCGGCCTCCAGCAGAAAGCAGCCTGCTGCCATCAAAGGTGGCCCTCGGTTGCAGCAGAAATGGGCTGGGTTGGTGAAGCTTAGCTTCATACTTTCTGGAAACCACCATGCTGGGACAGGAAGGGATGTTCTGCCTTTGCTGCTCCGGCAGTTCTGCTGTCCATAGTGCCCAGAATCGAGCCAGGATTAGAACCCAGCCCATTGCTCCATTGCCCTCTTTCCAGCTGCACTGCTACCACCCGTTTTACAAAGAAACAGACTCAGGAGAGGACAGGAACTCAAGTCTTGCACCTTCCCCTTCCTTTCCCTGCTGGTTAGTTTCCCCATAGCATGTGCCAGTCTGTCCCTCAGCATGATGCGTTTGAAAAACGTGGATCAACTGAATGAAATTTAAAAAGGAATGAATGAGCGGTCCATTGCCATTTGGGTTGTGGACAGCATCGCCACACTCAAGGTCCCCCTGTGCCTCCACTGACAGCCAAGGATGGTGTCCTGAGCCCAGGCACGCCGCCCCAGCCTGCAGCCTCTGGCTCTACCCTGTCACACCACCTCCACCCATAATGGGGGCAGCAGCCCCGCCTCCCTGTGCCCAAACCACACATCCTCTCCAGTGTGTGGCTTGGCTCAGTTGTCACATTTGCTGGGGTCTGGAGGAGCAAGCCAGTAGGGGTCCATATCCCTCTTACATCCTCAGACCTCCCTTTGTGTCCCGCCAGCCCTTGGAAGCCTGCAGGATGGGACAGGGAGGCCAGGTCCTCTCCGAAGCCGGCTGGTACCCAGATTTAAAAGCTACAGCCTCAGGCTCCCAGTGTCCATTTCTCTTGGCTCTCAGGAGGGCGGGCGGTAGGGAGGTACAGAGGCCGAGGGGGAGGGGGCTGGGTCCTTGGTGCAGGCCCGAGTCTGCAGAGGGCTGGGAGGGCACAGTGGGGAGTGGACTGGCTGCAGGTCTCCTCCATTAGGCGTCACGGCCTGGGGCCAAGGGCCTGCTCGTTTCTTGCCCAGAAACAGACCCCCTGGAGGCAGGCAAGGGCCACCGGAGCAGAGGGAAGTGGCAAGGATGGAGCATTTCCCTGGCGGCCAGATCACCTCGCTGTCCTCTGGGTGTGGAGGACTGGGAAGGAACAGAAACGCCCTTGTGGCGAGTCTGGCACTGCCTGCCACGCGGCCTTCCAACTGGCTCTTCCTAGGAAAACAGACCCACTGCTGGAAACCCCAGGGGGCAGTGGAGGGCCAGGCACCGGGGAGGGCGGACATGTCCCTACTGCCTGAACTGGGAGCCACCAGCTTCCTTCCTGGCCTCGAGGCCTTGCCCTCTGGCTAAGTCTGAATATGAAGTCACAGGACATCCTCTCCAAAAGTGGGTAGGGGAGGGAGAGGCTGGGGTGGACAGGAGTGTCCATTTGCATGGGCCCATGCCTGGGTGTGTGGCTGCCTCTGGCTGTGGCCCCAAATCAGGATCTGAGTCCTGCTGCCCACATGCTGAGGCCTCCTTGGGTTGGAAAACCATCAGCCCTCAGTGGTCTCATGGGGCAGCTGAGAACATGCCAGGTTCTGGAGTCACCTGGGCTGGGGGCAGATCCTAGCACACATCCCAGCTGGCTGTGCACTTATAGGGGGCAAGGTTACTTTGCCTCCTAGAGTGCCTTGCTCCCCATCTGTGAAATGGAGCTATGCCAGCCAAGCCCGGCTGGGCCAGGGAAGGAGGGAGGAGGCTGAGACCTCCAGCCCTTAGGATGCTCCTGTGTCCCCACTCTGCTCCACCTTCCCCCATTCCCAGGCACCCAAGGCCCTCTCAGCCTCTCAGTGTCCACACAGGGCAGAGACAAAGGGCAGGGTTATGCCCCACAGTCGCCCCTCCCCCTTACCTTGCTGGTGGCAGTGGCGGCTGAGCCGGGCAGCACAGGTGTGTTGGTGACCTGCACATTCAGATAATTATTGTCGATGAGTGGCCAGGCACCCTGCACCTTACAGGTCTGGAAGCGGTCTGTGAAAGTCCTGAGGTGTGGGTCCCCGAAGAGGCCGCAGTGCGTGTAGTTGGGGGCAGCCGCGTGCTTGTGAAAGCTTTTCTCGTAATGGCAGATCTCAGGGCTGTCCGAGCGCTCCTGGCTGTCTCCGGCCGGCGGGAGCGTGCGCAGGCGTGGCTGCGAGGTGGGGCCATCCCTGGAGCAGTTGTGCTGGCTCATGAGGTCCTCTATGCCATGGACGGCCGAGTGGTAGGCCAGGTCACCCCGGCAGGTACGGGCCGTCCGCCGCGTGCACAGGGCGTAGGTTCGCAGGGCTGCGCAGAACTCAGGGGTGTCGTCTGCGGCTGGGGCGTGGCTGCCTGATGTGGCGCTCCAGAACTCAGAGTTGCACTTCAGGATCTTGCACGGGGAGGCGGCTGAGGAGAAAGGAAGGGATGCATCATCAGGGTGCAGCTGGGCAACCCCAGCCTCTGCTAGCCTCTGTGGGGTGGGGCAGACACCCATCACAGGAGGTGGCCTTACCTAGGGCGGAGCCGCCCATGCCACACACACAGGGTGAACAATTTCCTGTAGATGGTAAGAAAGGGGTCCTTCTACCCAATCCATAGTGACCCCACCTGGCCAGACACGCAGACCAGCAGGCTGAAAGGGCCAGCGGGGCTCCTCCCATGGTGCCAGCCTGCTAGGGAGTGGTCACTGTTTGGGGGCACCAGGACTTTGGGAGCTGACAGGCCACCCTGGAACTTTTGATATTTATATACACTTTCATGACCATCCCTGAGAATTCTGGCTAAAGCAACAGGAATCTGGCAGGGAATTGGCCCTGCTATTAAATGTGTCCCCAGTCCTGATACTGTATGACCTTGTTACAACTGACTTCCCACTTCTGTGCCTTGTTATACTCATCTGTATGATGGGATGATGAGTGTGAAGTGATTTTATCATGTGTAAAGGACTTAGTCTGGCCCCAGCATTCATAGTCAAAGCTCAGTGAATGTTGCCTGCGATGGGTGCTCTATGGGCGCTGGTCACAGTGGAGCAGGCATCCCTGATGGTCCCCATAGCCCCATCCTTCTCGGTGCTGCTCAGAGAAACAAGCTGAGAAGCAACCTAGAGTAGTAACCTCGGATCCCCCCACAGACTTTGAGACCTCAGTGACAATTACCCAAAATGACTGTGCCCAAGAACCACAGGTTTAACACACCTCATCTCCTGGACACATAGGACCTGCCCTTTTCTGGCCTTCTAGATTCTTCTGCACAGCTCAGGGTGACCACAAGTGGCCAGGCACACACACCTGCAGTATGACAGAAGTTTCTATATAGGTTCCAGGAGAAAGGGGCCAGCAGACCAGCTGGGAGGCTCCGCCTCTGGGGTCATAGCCCAGTACTGGCTGGGGTGGTCTCTCCAGGGGGTAAAGGAGGCCTCAGCACTCCTGTCTGGGCCATTAACTTGGCTTGAGACCTTAGAAAAGTCAGTCTGTGGGCCAGGCGCAGTGGCTCACACCTGTAGTCTCAGCACTTAGGGAGGCTGAGATGGGTGGATCATGAGGTCAGGAGTTCAAGACCAGCCTGGCCAAAATGGTGAAACTCTGTCTCTGCTAAGAATACAAAAAGTAAGGTGGACGCGGCAGCACAAGGCTGTAATCCCAACTACTCGGGAGGCTGAGGCAGAGAATTGTTTAAACCCAGGAGGTGGAGGCTGCAGTGAGCAGTTTGTGCCACTGCGTTCCAGTCTGAGTGACCGAACAAGACTGTCTCAAAAAAGAAATAATTCAGTTTGTGTCTCTGGTGCTGGTTTTATCTATAATAAAGTTGAGTAGCACATAAAACCAAGAACAGATGTTATTTGAGGGCAGACTAACGCGAGCACACGAGTGCCCACCCATCCCAGCAGTCCTGTGCAAACCCAGCTCACGCCGTGCAGCCCTGGACTGGGTGATCTCTGCTGCCTCTGCAGGTGGGTGGGCACCATTCTACTGGGGCATAAACCACCTTCCCAGGTCACAGACCCAAGCAGAGCAAGTCAGTATCCATCCTGAAATTAGTGCTTTCGCCCTCGTGTGACCTGTGTTTGCCATACTGCCAGTTACAGGGTCATTTCAGGTGATACCTGAGTGAACACTTGTCTTTTAATTTGAAAAGTCATATTTATTTAAATTGCATTAAGAAAAAAAATTGCTGGGTGTGGTAGCTCATGCCTGTAATCCCAGCACTTAGGGAGGCCAAGGTGGGTGGATCATGTGAGGTCAGGAGTTTGAGACCAGCCTGGCCAACATGACAAAACCCCGTCTCTACCAAAAATACAAAAATTAGCTGGGCATGGTGGCACGTGCCTGTAATCCCGCTACTTCGGAGGCTGAGGCAGGAGAATTGCTCGAACCCGGAAGGTAGAGGTTGCAGCGAGCTGAGATGGTGCCCACTACAGCCTGGGAGACAGAGACTCCATCTCTAAAAAAAAGATGGAAGAGCTGCAGCTTTTCCACAAGCTTTATTATTTACTGAAGAAGTATGCTGACTTAAAGGGTCAGGTTAGGTAAACGTCAGGTGGTACCTGCTTGATATGGTTTGGCTGTGTCCCCACCCAAATCTCACCTTGAATTGTAATAACTCCCACTCAACAAGGGTGGGGAGAGGTGGAGAGAACCGAGTCAGGAGGCTATTTCCCCCACACTGTTCTCATGGTAGTGAGTCAGTCTCACGAGACCTCACGGTTTGGTAAGTGGGATTTCCCCTGCACACTTTCTTGTCTGCTGCCATGTACGATGTGCCTTTGCTTCTCCTTTGCCTTTTGCCATGATCGTTAGGCCTCACCAGCCTTGTGGAACTGTGACTCCATTAAACCTCTTTCCTTTATAAATTACCTAGTCTTAGGTATGTCTTTATCAGCGAGAACAGATTAATCCACCATGATAAAGGGATGCTATGGCAGACATGTGGGGGCACTGGTGAGACCCCCCCCATGTAGTCTTCTTCCCACATGGGTGTGCTTCTGAGGACAAGTCTCCCTCCCAAGGCAGCGAGAAGATTCTCTTGCCCTGCTGCCTTCACGTCGCCCTAACCTACTTGCAGGCTTTGAAATGTCGGTGTGATCCATGAGTGAAGAGGCAGCACCCTGCCACCCCGATGAAGACGCTACAGGAGGTGAGTAGGGGAGTGTATGGGGAGGGACGCTACATAGAACAGGCATCTGGAGGGACCCAGCGTACAGGAAGTGACTGGTACCACAGCCTGCACACAATGCTTGTCCCAGCAGCCTCATTAATTCCAAGAGCCGGGTGTGCTGACCTGCCATTCTGCCTCCTCAGAATCAAG